TCGAGCAACTTGAGCAACTTGTACAAGTTCTTTAAATTTGTACAAGTTCTTTAAATTTAGGAGAACCCTTTCCACCAACTAAGGGGTGGGTCAGGTCTCCCCCCCACACAAATACCTTTCTAATTACGAATCATTTATAATTAAACTAAGTCTGTGTAGTGTGTTTGGGCACTTTTACCTGTGCACTGTCAATAAAAAATACATTACCATCCATTCAAAAGTTTGTCATGTTTAGAGAACACCTTTCCTTAAAAATGTGTGCCTAAACAAGCACAAGACTTCAGAATAAAAAAAATTCAAGGGGGATTGGCATGGAAAAAAAAAAAACAAGTGTGGCGGGGATATGGAAAGGAGTGTGATTGTAGATGCAGTTTTTCACTCTCTTGGTGTTAATCTTTGGGGTGTCTTTGCCACAGTTTTTATGGGTGCACATGCCAAGGGATTTAACATGTTTCTGGGCAGTTATTGGGTATCGTTCTGGCGGTTCTGTGCAAACTAGGAGCCTGTGAGGAAAATGTCCATGTTTATCCACGAGATTGGTTTATTCGGCAGCACTGTGGTGCTCTGAAAAGCTTCAATGAGGATTAGCCACAGTGTGGAAGACATGGCACAGCCAAACAGGATTCTGTGGTCTGCTGATTTCATCTACAAACAGCCATCAAATGTTTTTGTGAATTTTGTAACGAGAAAAAAAAAGCCCTCTCGGAGCCGAATTTCTAAAGGGGAACAGAAAATTGAGACAGTAACGACACGGTCTTATGGTACACTGCCTACAGAAAACAGTAGTGGGATGATTCCAGGGAGCATTGACATGGATCAGTGAAAAGCTGACAAGGAAGCCCAACAATGAGAAGCCTGCAAAGTAGGAAGAAAGGGAATGATGACTAAACTGGGAAACCAATCCCCTAAACAAAGAGTGAGTGGATTATACCTATAGCGATCGAGCAGGGAAGGAGACAAGTCATTTTGCCTAACGCGTGCAAAGTGTGTTTGACATTAAATTGGGGACAGTGAGAGACCCCATGGTCAAAAGTTATATTTGCTGCTGGTACTCCAAGGGCAACACCGCAGACCAATCAAAATGCCTCTGGACACCAGTTGCTAGGTAGTCTTTAATTAGTGGTTGCCATGGGACAGGTTGGCAGGCCTCCAGGCATGTTTAAAAAGGGTTTAGGATTTGTTAGGTAAACACATTGTATGGTGGGGGGGGCCTTGTATGCCATGGGACTTTTCGTTTTGAGTCCTTTGAACCGATAAAAAAAGCACAAGTGCTAATTACAGGCATGGGCCTACTGGGTAAACAGTTCCTCCTCTGTGCTGGTGCTGCACACAAGTCTCATTTCCGAAGTTGTTCTCAAGATAAATTTACCCAGTTTACAATTGAGCACTAGCTGAATATACAGAGTTAGCAGTTGGACAATGTAGGGGCTTTTTGAGTTGCTGTTAGAGTCATTTGAAGAAGTATGTCAGCTCTTGTTTACCTGTGTACAGTGGGCCTGGGCTAACACTGTATTATGATGTAAAATACTTCAGTCCACTTCAGACAGTCATTAACATATCCCCAAGCATGCCAACTTTCAGCCAATCACAGTGAAGGTATAAACTTATACAGATAGTCAAAGCAGATATGTCACTACTTAGCAATGACCAACCTATGGGTGGTTAAATGGAAGCACGCAAGGATAAAACTACTCACTGTTTCAATCTTTGTGATCCTGTGTAGTTTGTCCATCAGCTTCGGAATTGGCATTTGTGATGAACCATGCGCTACTGCGCCTACACTGCTAGCTGCTATGATTGAAGGCATTTGCCTTGCAAAACTGTATTCTGAAAAACAAAATAAAAAAGGTAGAACTTTTAAGTATGTAAGTTGTAGCCAGCTGACTTGATCAAGGTTTGCAGTGTTTGCAAACACAATGGTAAAAACTGAATTATATCCAGCATCTCCCGCACAAAATGCGCATACAGCAGAATTAATTTATCATGGTTTCAAAAGGGTTCAAGGGTGAGAAGTACAAATACCTGAAACTGCTCTGGGAAGTCACCTGTCCTCACAAAATCCCCCCCCCAGCTGTCAACCAAAAAGAACTGCCAGATATGCTTTCAGTTAACTATGACACTAGTTGGATCTTTGCACTTTTCGTAGATTTATAAAGGCTGAATCAATGGCAACAGTAGCTGGTGGATCAAAGCATAAATTACCTCTTTCCCCACAAATCAAGGTTGTAATGTCCACATTGTAAATTAACACCAGCCCAAATATGACACTTGGACCATAACACTATTGTCCCCACTGTCAAAAAGTTTGGCTTGTATACCATTAAGGGTCTGGCATGTGTAGTTTCTAAACTATGAAATAAAAATCCGGAATGGAAGGAAAGAACAGACCTTACAGTGAGATTAATGGCAACTGTTGTGAGAGCCTGGCATTTGCTCATAAAACATCCAAAATACATTGGAAAACAGCAAAATCTTATAGGTTAACCTGTCACCACATTGACCCAAAAAAATCATCCTTTAGATGGGCACATTCAGGTGACATTATATCAGTCTACATCAAAAAGGGGTACAGGCCACAAACAAGTTCCTGGCAAACTGCAAGTCTGAAGTGATGTAAGTATTAAATAATTACATTAAATAAACAATGAAATGGTTGACAATTAGTTGAATTACAGAACTTGAAATTCCCTTTATTTATATTTTTGAAACAGTCTCAACCTTTATCAAGTCTGATAAAAAGTGCAAAATACCGTACCTAAAATAGGAATTAAGTATGCACCACTGATCAACAAATTCAGAAAAATACCTAGTTGAAAATTTTAACTCGGCTCACTCAATTCAATATTCAAAACCATTCCTTGATTTGTCTTTTGACTTGGATGCTTAACAAAGGACTCAAACCAACAATTGTTTTTTTAAGATTTAGGATTAGAGGGCATGTGGTCTCTTTTGAAGTGACCTTTTCCCTGCCATTTATGTTGAATTCTTTGGCCACAGATAGCACATATTCAAGAACCATGCTGTCAGATGGTGGGTTGTTCCTTTAAATTAACCGCGACTGCTGCCAATGATAGCCCCACTTTCGTCCATTTCTGGAACAATGAATAAGTGGTCAATAAAGACGACAGTGCACGTTACGAATCTTTTGAAAAATTCCGGCATGCTAGGGCTCTCCTCTGAAAAGGGACCAACCCCGGGCACTGTTCCTCTTGAGATGCCACTTCCTTTCTTTGAGGCACTTAAGCCCCTCGAAAAATAGGGGGTGCCTCAAGGGGACACATTTCTCAGGATGAGTCTCAGAAGAGGCCCAAAGTTTTGTTTTGCATCATACCCAGGTAGCTCTCTCAGGCAGACCGTGGGAGAGAGACTCTTGCTCTGAAGAGAGCTATGTTGCTAATCCAATTTTCACCAGGAAAGAGAGAGCAAATAATTACATGGAAATCCTTAGTTATAATTTTTTTCTTTCAAAAAGGATTTTCAAGAAAGAAAAATACACCAAGAAAATCTCTTTTATGTTGCATCACGTTGGAACGATACATATAGCTATTGTGTTTTTCATACAAGTTGAGTTTCAGCACAATGGAGGACTAAACAGAAAAGTGATCTTTGTTCAAATAGGTGATTTCAGGAGAAAAAATGCAAGTTGTGCAAAGGGTTCAGAACTCTAGCCAAAAGTTACGCATGATTGAATCCAGCAATTTCATTTTCTGGAGGGTGTTTCATCACTTCATTTGTTACAACGATGTTACGTGACAAAGAAGGAAACAGCTTAAGCATGATCAATGTGACCGCCGCTCAACAGCAATAAGGGAGGGAAAAGTCACAAAACAAACAAAGGGAAATCCAACAAAGCTACCATGTCAACTATGACATGGCATGACAAGATGGCTTTGAAATCCAGAAGAAAAAAATGCCTATGCGACAAACTTTTTTGAGTAGATATTTGAAGCATTATTTATAACTTAAGGTGGAACTATCAATTTGGACTGAATATGTGTCCTAGGTAGGAAACCCTGGCAACTTTACAAGTGGCCCTAATTTTCTCATGGGGGGGGGAGCTAAATTCCCACCTGTTAATTCATACTTTTAACCCTTTCCTTTGAGTAAATCTGCAAAACTAAATTTCTCTTGAAATAATCACCAGGAGATATTTGTCCCTTTAGTTTTCACCGGCTTTGTCAACACGAGAGTGGAATTCAAGTTATTCCACAGCTTAAAAGAAAGCGGTAGTTAAAGTTTGGGATTCATTATTTTGTACGCCAAGTGGAATGCAGCAAAAAACTTCTTCTGGAATAACTTTCATTTCTGCCAGCAACTGTTTACTTTTTGTGTTTGGTAGCACCTACCCTTCCCTTGTTCCCTTCAAAGTTAAAAAGCCAACACGCATGCTTTTGGTCCATTTGGTCCTGCTTTCATTTGGTGAGGGAAAGGGCAGTTACATTGTATAGCAGTTTTAAGTTAAATTCCAATGGATTAAAGGGGCAGTACAAGTTCCTCCTTGAAGATAAGAGAATGGGTAGGCTCTAATTGTGAATTAAATCATGAAAATCTGAGCGTGTGAGTGGAGGGGGTATGGCAATTTTTCGGAGCCTACTTGCTTCATCGCTGCAGAACTGCCAATTGGATACATGGTTTATTGATATTCTCAAGGATCTTCACTTTAACCAGTGACCAGTGGAATACCACACTTCTTAAAGAATGGGAACTCTGTTTGGAGTCACAGCCGCCAATGCAATCATGTATGCCTGAGTAAAATACCTAAGGTGCTAGCTGGTTTACTACCTATGGAGTTACCAGCCAGGGCAAACAAGAAGGGCCTAGGCTCCAAGGTAAAATCATGTAGTTTGTAGGTTTGGTATGTGGGGAGTGACTATCTGCACTTTCAGAAACATGTTTTCAGATACAAGAAATCATGATGAAATACAGAAATTGTTCACAACTGAGGTCATACTTGTTCCCATGGAGCCACTATCCTTGTCAAACCAACTGGCCGATCAGGAGGGGGGTTAAACAACTAACTTCTATAATAAGACAAAACTTCTTTGAACTGCTCTAGTCCTGTCAGGACGCACAGTTTGGAATTGCCAAGATTCTGCTTTTCTTGCTGTTATTCCTTTGGGGCCATGTAAATGTACACGTAGCAGTATGTCTACCAAACAGTCAGCACATTCCACAGCCTATTGTATTTTCCAGTCTTATTGTGCAATGTGTGGGAGCATGACACCCGCTTAAGCCCTGATCAATGCCCTTAGCCTATTGGTGGCCTTGTTACCATGCACAGCGTCCTCTGTTGGTAGGTAAAATTACTGTGGTGATGAATGAGGGGTTTTTGCTTTGTGATTGCTTTTCCAGATAATAAATTTGATCAGCACAACTTCCCAAACAATAAACTATTTTAATGTCCCAAATCAAATTTTAACACTGCAAAAGTGCTTTTCCCTGCTATAAAATCAATGAACTTGTATTTAAGAAGTTTTAAAATGGAAACTTACCTGTAAAAAGAGTACTTTAGAAGTATGCATCCAGCGTGTGCAAGTAACATTTCAATACAACAGGCATTTGTACATCACAGACCATACACCTCTCCCCTTTGAAGATTCATAATCCACATGGAAAAACTCAAAATACATGTACCTCTGGCGTTACAGACAAAACTGCTGCAATCTTTTATACCATGAACCTGCAATGAGTCAGGAATTCTGTCTACGCTTTTTGCTCAGTGGCCCTGTACGCTCAAGTAACAAGTTCCTTTTTGCCCCAACCCCGCCCATTTTTTTACCTGTTGCGCACAGGGCGATGAAAGTCTGAGCATGCCGTCTTAGTCTCTGGGCACACTCCTTTGAGATGGGTAATCTGTGGAGGATTTGTTCCAAGAAATCGTTTGGAGTTATTGCAGACAGGTCCCATTTTAATTTACGAAGCACAATCAGCTCAAATTGCTGCAGAGAGAAAAGATAGGGAGAAAACAAAAAAGGAAACGGAAAAAATTAATATTCAAGAGAAAAAATGCCAAATAAAAAACTCCAGATTTTATAGATCTAGTCCAATTCAATACTTGCAAAGTACAGAATTTTCAAGATTACAGCAACTAAGTGAATATATAAGTGTACAATTAACAATTTTTGGTTTGACCGGGAGTCAGGTTGGCAAGATAGTTCTTTCCTTGCCTTCCACCCCGGGTTTGATTCTCGGCCCGGTCCACATGTGGATTGGGTTTTCAGTCCCTACCTGATTCCGTGGGTTTTACCCAGAATATTCCTCTGGGGTTGTCCTCCCACCTCTAAACTGTAACTGCTTCTGTCTCCCCTTTACTTATGTTGGTGAATGTGGGTCATTTGGCGGCTGCCTGAGGCACCCTTGTATGCCATCGGCTCAACCATGTTTAAACGTAATCATTGTTCCACGCTTAATGTCTTCATTGTACAGCGCATTTGAACATATCTATAAGAAATTTGCACTTTACAAATGAATAAATTATTATTTAGTTACAAAAGGAACTCTGCATTCAAAAAGTGAGGAAATGCTCTCAATCAAACCAGAAAAAAAATATAAACTAATGATGCAAAGCAATCAGAGAATGAAGCACAGGTATTTCTTAAACCAAGGAAAAGATGATCCAAAAAAAAAACACTTTATGCAAAACTGAACAGGCCAGAGGAAATGAACTGGGTTATCGCTGTCCATCCAACAGCGCATAGGATCAAGAAGGGGCAATTGAGAAGATGATGAAGATATGTTCAGTTTTCAGAGTTGTGAAGGAAAACCAAGGATAAATTGTCAGGGAAAACCCACGGAATCAGGCTGGGACTGAAAACCCAATCCACAAGCCGACCTAGATGAGATTTGAACCCAGATGGCAGAGGTGGAAGGCAAGGAAAGAGCCGCTACACCAACCTGACTCCCCATCATGTTCCAGACAAAAAATTTCAGACTGATCTACTACTGTTAACTGTCCCACCCCAATCTGATGGTCTGTCTCCTCACAGGAGGATGACTGAATGACTAATGTGATCTCAAACCAGCTGACCACCAACCATCTAACCCCTCCAACTCACACAGGAAGTATCAGATTTACTTTAAACCTCTCCAAGTACTGTGCTAATTACACACAGGCTCGTGGTGATTATAAACAGAATCATTCCTAGAAATATGCCCCAAGGAAACCACAAAAGTAACAAAGACTAGTGGCAATATAGTGTTGCTACCAGGTTGAGGAGTCTTCAAAATTTTCCCAGGAAAAAAAATTGAGACTTGGGCAACCATGCGGGTAAACTGAGATAAGTTGTTTAGCGTCTCACCATAAAGATGAATACCCAAGCCATTTAAAGTAACTTCATGCCATAAATGCTAAAAATCAAGCATTTTGGAGTTATTAAGCTTTCATAAATAATGTTAGAGGAACAGGTTATAGCTCTCCTGGAAAGGTGTAAATGACAACAATCTTTGAAACCTGTTGTTTGTTTTCCAAGCAACTTTTGAAAGTATCAAATGTAACATTTAGGAGTTTTGGCACTCAACAAATAAATAGATTAATTAATTAATTAAAATACTATATCTACACCAGTATCAAAGCTCCTCTGGTGTAAGATGATAAATTTAAGCCTGTAAGCAAACCCCATCTTCGCAACAAAACTTGATTCTTCAATCTAAACCGTGAGCTTTTTTTTTCACAGAGGCTTCCTTCCAACAAAGGCTCCCTTCTCAATAGCCATTCCCCAGAAATGCCACCATGCCTCAAGCCAACCGGATTCTGACACAGTGGTTCAGGTTCACACAATCGGTTATATAACAGTGAACCTGTAGGGGCACATCATCCCTTTGTTAGAGCATTTGAACTCTGACCAACTCCCACGCAAACAATAGTGGTATGTTATTACACTAATCAATGACCGTCAGTGCCCCCCCCCAAAAAAGCTCTTCAAAAAGTCATTCATGGGATCAACCTCCCTCTACCATAAAAGGAGGGGACCGGTAAAGATCTTCCTTTATAGATCAATCTTAATTGACACTAATTTCCATATCTCCTATCCTTTCAATACAGAGATCAACTGCCAACAATTTGGGGTATGGATGTTCCTAAACTTTATGCCGCTCTTTGATTTTGTTGCACTAAAAACCACTACACTGGGCCAGCCGCCGAAAAAAAGAGCCACACGGTTACAGGCAGGCAAAGTCATATAAAAATAGAACAGAAAGAACTGTTTCTAGGCAGATACCGCACTGAAAAAAAGATACAATATTTCTGAAGGTCCAGAGTAATACAAATGTATCAATTCTGTCCCACATAAACCTTCCAAATCCTTGTGTAAGTCTACTTTGTGGCAGGCCGCGAAAGAGAAACTGTCAACCCAGTCTTATATTGACCAATGGGATGGCAGATCGTCTGATCTAATCCTACAACTTTGGTTATCATCTAGACTCCACCGCGATGACAAAAATTCGGCATGAGATTTTGGGGACTTATTTCCGGATCCACCAGATGTGGCCCCAACAAATTGCAGCTGGGAAACCCATGGCTTTTAACTCGTGCTTTATTCATCGGTTTCTTATCACGGATCCACCACAGGAAGCGGACGATTCCCAAATGACACTAAAGCACTTGTTAGAGGCCGTCTATCGGTGGAGATAAAAGGAATTTCAAATCCCTCTCTTTTCCAGTGCCATCGCTCTCTTTAAAACCTAAAGAGGGAGTCCCGATATTTAAACGTGTAGAGCCCGACAAAACAATTAAAAAATGACACTACTATTTACGAAATGCAGGGAAGTGATTAACACTCGAAAATCGAAACCCATTTTGGGGATAATACTTACTAATAGTTGATCCAAGGTGATGGAATTGTCGGTGTAAATGATGAGTTTTTCGGCTGTTAGAGGTATGGTGTCCTTTAATTTTGAAGCAAGGAACATACAAGCTGCGCCAAGAAGCTGGAATTCGCTCCTTTTTATACGCTGCACGGCAAGAAATCTGTCTAAATAGTTCATTGCGAGGGGGAACACCTCCTCTTCGCATTGTTGCTCCTCGCAAACCTGGTTAAGGAAAGATAATGTAGGAGATGACACCGGTATGAAAAATCGCAGGCCAGAGTGTGGAGGAAGGGAAAAAGTATCAAATGGGTCAACCACATTACTATCTTGAAGGCGAAAAAAACATGACCGAACTGTCTTCCGACCCTCTGGGAGGTCGGTCGGTCAATTACACATATTATGAGGGAGTATATAAGATGTTTGAATGGTTGACAAAAATGTCAGTTAATTTAAAAACTTTCGAGCGACATGTGACTGATTTCTCATAGCAAGTGGTTTTTGAATTAAACATGTCCAAGAACAACGATGGTGCGTAGGAAGTCAACAGACGAAACACAAAGCTGCCCCTATATCTCGGGTTTATAGTTTATACACATCATGAAATACAGGGCATACGAAGAAGACACATCCAAAGACTTTAAAGATAATCGTTTTTATTTTCTGAGGCTTGTAGGAGTGACTTTAAAAGTTCTTCTTAACTAAATTAAAAGTCTACATATGTTACGCTAGTAGTCGTACCATCGGGATGAAATGGATTGGGCTGGAATTTTCCTCCCAGTAGAACAGGTTTGCAATTTTGTAGTTTTGATGAAAAAGGAAATTTGCATTCATTTTGAAAGGGTGATAATGGGTGTAAAACGTAAACAGCGAAGAAAAGCAATGACAAAAAAATGCGCGCCATTTTTCCACTTAGCAGTAGGGAGGAGAAAAGCTGAACAGAAGTAAACAGTAAGTTTTTCAAAACGTATGTGTCGGAAAAGGGTGCGATAGATTGATCTTCCATACTCAAACGGGTCGATTGGAACTATTTTACTGAGGAGTTTTAAGAGAAAAAAAAGCAACACAGTCCTAGTAACCATTTTTTTGCGCTGCCGAAAACAAGGCCAGGATGTTATTTCATTGTCTTGACTGCAAGGTTTAGCGCCAAGAAAACCCCGGATATTTAGCAGGTTCGAAAGGAAACAATCAATCGCCTAGTTAAACTAAGAAGAGGATACCGAGGAAAGAAGCGGGAAAACCGCGAATAAACGGAGGGAAATGTCAAAGGGGCAGTACTTCGCTGCACCACAAACACCGAGAGCGCGCTCAAGTTGGCAACTGTCATAGACGCGGTTTTAAATTAGGCACCGAAAGACGCAGATCATCTGGTCTTAATATTAATAGCAAATAAATCTAGAATCGACAAAGGGGGAATAACGTGTTTTTTTTTCCAAAAGCAGTGGTTTAAAATAATAACACTGAGTAAGCCTGTTATCCAGCGATGTAAACCTCTTTCACGTAGGCCTACATGTAGGCGGGCTGTGTATGGACAGTCTCGGTAGCCCATGCTCAATAAACCCGTAGACGTAAGTTTATACGAAGTAGCAAAAGCTCGGCCTATCTACAGCTTACTTACTAGGGCCTGCTGTGAAAGAGGCTCTAATTATAAACTCCCGAGCTTCGCGATATGGGCCTGTCCTGCAGTTTGTTTGCCACGTTTGCTGCGGGTAATTTTCCGACGCAATTTACATTATTAGTATATTACAAGACATGATGTACTAATTTGTTGTACAACAAATTCTCCTCCAGGTCTGTGGTACGACCCAAGTTGGCGGTTTGCTCTGCTAATGCCTTTCCTGCTTCTATGTTTCGACAGCTACCGTACGCCGGTCGAGCCTTGCACATGCGCCTCACGGTAACTTTTTTTTTAGTTTTTCAGCGATGGAATGAGAAATGCATAGCGCTTACACTCAGTCAAATTTACTTAAATCTGCAATTTTTTTTAAAGTTCGAGGGCCTAACGTTTCGATACTTTGTGCATTAAAAATCTTTATGGAACGTCAGCGCCCCTCTAGCTAGGCGCAGGCCCTAGCCTAATTTGTTCGTTCAGGGTACCGAGTACCATGGCTATATAATTTCAAGTCATTGTAGGCCTAGTCAGTGAACAGTTTCTGCCGTAAATTGTACATACACCCAACTCAGTTTTTAACAAAATAAATATGATGCCGTGAGGCGAATAAACCTCGTGATGCAAAGACGTGCAAGCGCGCACAGTAAGGCCTAACTGATATTACAGACGTCAGACGAGGTATTGCTGATCGCCGGCTGACTTCAAACGCCGCCAGGGCGAATTGGGGAGGTTAACACGGGGGAGTCACCCGGCAAAAAAGCAGCAAGGTGTGCAAATAGTTATAACAGTTATAGGCGAATAAAATATCCATCCAGACATGAAGTTAAAGCACATTAAAGGAAAGAAATGGGGAAAAAAGCCTACTCACCTCAAACACCCATTGCGCGACCATTTTCCTCATGATAGGTTTAATGTCTGTTTGAAATTGATTCCCAAAATAATCCGAACACGGCGTATACCTTTCCTCCACTTCGAGAAGATTCCGTAGAACTCTGTCATTAAGTAAGACTGGATCGAGGTAGGCTCTCCTTACTTTTTCAACTTCACAACATAGAAGTTCTATTTGTGCCATGATTTTGTTTTTCGCTGGAATTTATCAAGCTCACAATCGAGTTTTCTAGAAGTTTTAAACAGAAACTAAACAGATGAGACATGAACAAAATAATTGATTTCCAGGTGGAGACAGTGTGCTTTCTTCAGTTGCGGGCCGTGCTTACCCCCTTTGAATCGATGTGTTTCCCTATGACCAAGCAGCTCGCTGTTTTGGTGTTAAAACAGGAGTTTTTTGGTCTGGGCTCGCTAAGATATTAATGGCGAGTTCGGGGTGCTGGCTGCGTCCACACGGCCCTACACTGATGTGAAGACTGTAGCCCGTAAGCATATCGCATAGGCCGGCAAGGCGCGCCGGTATCACCACGAACAGCACGCATTATTATGTACGAACGTTGGCTTGATGAATAAACATTAGCACGTGGCACACTTGTACAGCTCCTCAACGTTCGGCTGCACGCACCGCGCACAACGCACAGGTATGAACATGTACAAAAAAAAGAGGTCACGGATGTAGATCTTCAATATTGCAATGTACATGTACAGTGTGCATGTACATGTACATGTTACTTGCGTGGTGATAGGACTGTGCTTTGTCACCACCAAGCGGTAAGCACAGACATGTAGATAGATGTATGGGTATCCAGTATCTACGTCATTAATAACCATCATTTTTGTCAAGATGGTGTTTGTTAATTTAAAAGGACCTGCTTTTGTTACGCCACGAAAAGGTGCCAGGGGGGTGGCCAACCAACAAAAAGTATACTTGAACACAGAAAGCACTTTACACAATATGTAATGAAATGGGTTCGAATTTTCGTATGTTAGATCATGGAGTGAGGAAATAAATAGTTATAGACCGAGTTTCAAGTACTGAAATGTAAAACCACAAAAATGCAAAACCACAATTAAATCATTCCGTGTTATAGCCTACGTACAAGCTGACCACATGAGAATTGAGATCTTGTTTCTAAATTACTTAGGGCCTAAGTTTAATATAATTGCGCCATACCGATAGTTATACTGTCCCTTGCCCCCTAAAGTCTGCATTCGTGAAACAGCTGCTAAGCCATTTCACAATGATGGTCGACGTAACCCTCCCCCCATTCAGTCCCCTTCCTGGACAAGCCTCGCGCTGGGCTAGGAAACGCACCTGCTGACCTGAATAGAGCCCTGGCGAAAATGGCGTTGAATTCTTTTGTGTGCTTGCCCTGTTGCACCAGACAGGGGGACGCATAACCAACCCACACCGTCGTTCTATTCAGAACCCCGCAGCACGCCTTATAATACACTGAGGACTACGAGGGAACTGAGCATTGGCATGCAGAGACTGAAGTATCAGTCTGTTGGCCTACATTGATCATAGAGGAATGCATTGATGAAGTTTCAGACGATACTCCTGGGGTAACATTCACAGCGCAGTTAAAGAAATTAAGAGCAAAAGCATCTAATCAGTTGGAAGGAGAGAATCCTCATCATTAACAATCACAAAACCACCACTCATTTCAAAATAATACAACTTTAGTGCCAAAAGAACATGTTACAGGACATGTACTAACACGGAACCTGGTCTCTGCCTACTGCAGTGCTGTCTATTATTAATATTTTGCGTGGCCAACCACCTGTGCAGCCTGTGTTTTCCCCGCGAAATTCGAGACTATAAAAGCGTTGACCGTGTACCGAGTCACATTTTGCCCTATAGTTCGTAAAGATGAGTCTTTCAAACCTCAGACTTAGAAAACAGGTTTGAAGGTAATCTAGCGAGTTTCATGCAGCATAAGTCGTTCCTTTTAGAGCATGCCGGCGCTCAACCAGAGAGCAGACGTCGACCAAATACATGTAGTTGGACTATTTTACACACTGACCGGCTTGCATATTATGCTTGCATGCACTGCCGTGAAGCTAGCTACAGCTGAACAAAAGAGTTTGGTCAAAAGGCACATTGCGCTGATGCATTTCAAGGAAATTTCATAATTTAAGATGCCGATTTCAATTTCATTTTTTACCCAAACTGATTATACAGATGGCTTTACTGAAGTGATCAAAAAATGACATGATATTAAATAACACATGTATTATGTTATAATAAACTTTCTGCTTCGGTTGGCAAAAATACTTTCATAGGAACAAGGTCAAGTACATGCGGGAGTCAGCTTGTCTTAACCGAGTTTGAAGTTTTTAATTGTTACTATATTCATTAAAAATAATCTAACTACTCTCTGTGGACAACTTTTTCATAGATTTATCATACTCAGAAAGACTCCACGGTTTTTTTTTATTTTATTTGTAGCTATATAGTCTAATAGGTTTTGAAAACCTTATAATTGGCCTGAAGTTGATGAAATTTCCTCCCTTTGTTCATTTCCAAAATGAAAACCTGTTTTGTTGGTGCGGCTGGGGATCACACATTCTGCACCCCGTCAAATCCCGCCAAATGTCTGTAAGCCCTCCCCTTCAGCTCACCCGAGCGTTTTGATGGACAATTTGCCGATTTAAAGGATCACACCATGCAGGTCCGATGAAGCCGAATCTCGTGAAAATGTTGGCAGAGACCTGTCCAAGTTGTCTTGATGTACAAGCGTGAATGAGATAATCATGCAACAGAGGCAACAATGTTCCATGCCGAAAGAATACCCTTGTCCTATACGTCCCCTTCAGTGGGGTAAATGCATTGCAAGGTGCAAGCAACAGCAGTTTTCAGTAATTAATACTAATTGTAAAAGCTGCAGGAAACTGACGGGGATTAAGGGTGCCTGAACTTCCCCAATCCTATGATGACACAGCAATGTACAGACCTTTAATGTGAGATACCGGGTGGATATAACCATAGCTCCGTATATAACTACACAGCCAGCAATAGCTAGCTAGGCACAGCACAAGTTGCGAGGCAGAACTTGCTATTTATAAAACTAGTTTTGACTGACAGCCCAAGACCAGGCCCCTCCTACTTGGACCATAGGGTCTGCATTGGCTCAAAAATGAAACTACATTTCCAGTCTCTAGTTCGAAGCATGAATATTCATTTCTTTCTCTCCTGTTACGCACTCTAGTCAAGTGGGTACCAATTCTCGATGCTCAAATCAAGTTTTCCGGTGGTTCTGCTGCGCATGCGACGTATTGGCCGGATCATCCTTTGTAGTGTTCCTTTTCTAGATTACAATGCATTCTTTCTTCCCGCCAAAATTTACAGCCACATAAAAAAATTAAGAAAAATTCTGGAGTCATTAGAATATGACATTAGAATATGACGATTAAGACGACTAGCTGTATAAAACCGAGCCTAATGAACTAAAAGACTAGCCAATTTTCCCGCCTATTGACGGACAAACATTCGAGAGCAACTAGCGTTCCTATTGGTTGAATCTATGCGCATACCCATTCCCCACCGCCAACTTGTGATCATCGTGTGTAGGCCTATTTCGTGAACATGCAGAATGTTCAAGTTCCGTTGTACTTCGTACATGTACAGTACATAACAACCTTTAAATTGTGCGTGGGCGCACGCATGTGATGCAGATTATACAACACGCTTAGGTATGTGGTCAAGTCAATGGGTAAAACGTGGATCCTTGTTTCTATCAATTCGAAAGTTTGCAGAGCTCAATGAGTAACAAAAGTACAAAACTCTGTTTCTGTTGGTGTTTTTTTTTCTGTAGAAGTGCTCTTTTAAAGCAACAAATTCAGGACCATGTAAAAAGTTTAAAAGAGAGTACAGTTACATTTCCAGTGGATGAGGGCGAGATAAGTAGAACTAAAAACTGTTGTTTCGTGCGATGTTGACGTTAGAGCTCTGATTGATCCGAAAATCGATTTACAATTAAAATTACAATCACAAGCAGTTAATTTAAAAAAGGGGACATGGCCATTTTATAAGTAAGCATTTATCAGATATAACGTTACTGATTCGGATAAAGGAATATTTCTTTTGTGTAATTAAAAGTAAAGACCTTATAAATAGCACCGCCCATACACGAAGTTGCATTTCCCCATAATGTTCACTAAATGCATTTGTACACGTAATCTCTTAATAACACGTGCGAGGAACTAGTGGAAGGATACAGTCCATCGCTATAGTCCATGCTTATTTCCCAATCGATTTTTTCGCCTTGAGTTGTTTCAAAGAGGGATCAATGGTCAACGCATAACTGGCATTCCGTTATTATATGACCTTGGACAATAGCTCACTGACCATACCATTTGTGTGTGGTGTAAAGTGCACCGTGTTTTTATTTTTTTTTAGAGGAGACCAAATTAGGACGCTGAGACCGCACTGTGGAATGAATCTGGCACAGTTGAATAGTGCTCCGACTTTGCTGGGGTGACAAATTTGAAATGTGACAGCTCATATACGCGCGAATGTTTTAATGTTTCTTTTTTTCCCTGTAAAAGTAGCACTTACACAAAATATACCCGAGAAAACTATGAAAGCAAATGAGTTTTTCAACCGTTGACGCAGGAGACTTTTTGGCATGTAAAATACTTCCAAAAGACATTCAATGTGTAGGCGACATCGTTAACTGTTTCCTTTTCATTGTGTATGAATGTGTGTCTGTTTAATCATTCATGTTGACATTGTCGACCCACTCGGCATCAGATAAACTCAAGATTCCCGGAGCTCCGGGAAGCGCTCCGAAATTCCCGCAAAATATTTGGGGGGGGGTGGCTCAGTCACTGTTGCACATTACTATTCAAGTACCCTCCACCATCCAGCAGAATGTCGTCAGTGGAAAACCACTTTGCGATACAAATTAGACACTTCCTGCTGGAATCCGAGTGCGGACGGATCGGACGAGACATCAGCTGTTTGGGGTCGCAGCCTCGGCTCTTCAACGGCTGTTACTTGCCACAAAAGAGTAAGCAACTCCCCTTGCGCTTGCGCGTTATTGCTACGCTGTTCATGATGTAAAACTTTTCTTCAGAAACAAGTAAGGCATTTCGTGGTTTCCAGACATTCTCCAAGGTAGAATGGAACTGAAGCGCTTGATAACACTTCAATACGTTGTCTCGGAGTTTACGCTGTTACGGAACGGTCGTTGCGGCAAGCCCGCTGTAGCGCACATTCCAAGACTTCATCTGGTCATTTCCCACGCTGTTTGATAAGAGAATCTTGTGTCCTGTAGGGCACTTTCTGAAGTCGAAAAGTCTGTTGATGTCCTTCTGACCTTCCTTGGACAAGGTCACAGGAAGATTCAATTCGTGAGCCCACAGACAAGCCAGTACCGAGCAATAACCGTAAAATTTCGAGGACACTATTACAGTGAGGTCAGTGAGGCCAAACAAAGTAGTTCCATTTGGCTACTTTCCAAGACTACACCTGGTACGAGATGCCAAGTTGTGACCT